TGCTTGAAAGGAGTGAGCTGTATCTGACTTGTTTTAAGGTCAAGCTAAGGATGTAAATGTTTATGTTAAGTGTTAAACGGTTCAACGATTAATTCAGTGCTGTTTGACTGTTGGAGAAGACGCTGCTCATTGCGCTCTCGTCTGTGTTAACAGCCAAAGATGGAATAAAACCCGCAACAAAACACACTGACTATTCATTCATGTGTGCAACACTGTCTTTAAAACCAATGAGCTGGATTTAAAACCATTTAATAAGACGTGTTGTGGTCTGTCCTTTTAAAAAGTCCTTTAACCATAGAATCAGTGCAGGGGGGACATGTAGTTCAGACAGGAGGCGCAAGAGGGTGTTAGCATTTACAGTATTAACAGCTGATAAGTCCATCATTTTATTAATGAATAATTTTTATTTTGGTTTGAAAATGCAGTCAGGCAGGACAAGACCGGGTCATGCACTGATGTACAGCCAAAGTGAAATGCAGCCACACTTACTCAGGCGCACGCTCCAAACATCTCTCTTGTAGCCACAAATGTAACTTTCTGTGGTTGTTAGTAGAATCGCCATATGTTACCAATAAGCCACGCAAGTACATTTTTAAGGGGCAAATAGTTTTAATGTCCTCTTGAAATGTTCAAATAAACTGCTTTGAGAAAGGAAACCTCACTAAGCAAGTCAATGGCCGTGCCCTACTTCTGGTATCTCACCAGATGTTTTCATCATCGTTTCTACATGAGCAGGCCCAGGAATAAGGTGGATGAAGTCACCACCAATCACACATTTTTTATGACTATTGTAGGTCTTTGCATCATTGCAGGTTTTCATGTGAGGAACTCCTTTGAGTGCTGCTGTGGATAGACCCAAAATACAAAACTGTGTAAAAATCATACAGTAAAAGTTAAGGTAACACAGTCAGATTCAGAAGAAAGTTCACTTCCTATGAATTCTTGTTGTATGTTTCTAAAAAGTGTCACTAGATGGCAGTGTGGAGCTGTTCAACTTGCTGGAGTTACAATGAGGAGAAGAAGAAACACGGTTAAAATGATTTGTCCTAGAAATAATAATATATTTTTGATTTAATGTCTGAAGCCTAAAGTGTGAATGAGTTGTTTAAGCCGAATATTAGTCGAGTGCATACTAAACTAGCCTGCTCAGCTATTAATTAGCCTCGAGCTAATATCATTGATTTAACATCTTGTAGGTCAAACTTTCCCTTCTTTTATATCTCTTTGAATGTTAAAACCCAATCTGAGATAATTTCTTAAACAGTGAAGATGATTTATTTTTGAGACTGAATGTTATTTAAGCCACAGATCTTGACAGGGGAGTCTGCATACTGAGCTAACTGCTAGCTTAGCCACAAGCTAATACTATGGGTGTGTCCGAATCCACGGGCAGGATGCTTATGAGTACGGGTCCTCGCCGGTCTAGCAAGGCCGGGTCCTTGCTAGACCGCTAAGACCGGAACCCAGCAGCTCTGAATTTGGACAGACAAGCCTTCATCTCTACGGTGGCCCGTAGGTCCTGTCACAGCCGTAGCGGCAGCTACACGCAAAGGAAAAATGCTAAAGCTAGTGAAAATCGAGCAGAAATATGAAGGAGGTATACAGCAGCTTCACGTCCATCATCAGTGTTTGTTCACAAACGTTTTCAGGTAAAGTAACTTTGTTTATTCTAGAAACTTTCAGGACTTACATGTTAACTTTAGATGGTTTCATGTATGTTTTAAGCTACAGAATGAACTTATTAAATGTACACAACACATTACTACAGAGTATTATCATGCAGGTAATTAATATAAACCAAATGCATTATAAATGTTGAATGCAGTCGGATGTTTTCTAATGCAAATTGGACATTAGAACTTCTTGTTTAGCATCAAATGGGGGTAAAACGTTTTAAAAAACAGGCTTTTTAATAAAATAGCATTGAAGTGTTTTCAATGTGCATTTGTTTTTTTCAACTTAAGCCTAATAATGATTAGATCTGTCTTAAAAATGTAAATTCTTTGTAGTTTTTTCCCTTACATCAGAACATCTTAGAGATGTAACAGCCGTCGTCCGAGCCAGCCCAGCAGGCCCTGTAGATGGACGATGGAGTGGACAGTGAGAGGAAGCATCCCAAAGCTCTCTCTGCAGACCGTCCTGTATGATGTTCCTCTGACCAGAAACGTCCAGCCACGGGTCTGCTCCAGCCCTCCATCCACGTCTGGATCCTCCTGCAGCAGATCCAGCTGCACTGATAAAGACTTTCTGCCCACTCAGTTTAAATAAATGATCCAGGAAGAGTCACTCAGGTTAATCCTGCTTTAACCGCACATAACTGGTCCATACTGGTTTTGATCTGTAAATAAGTGTAACGTATTATAAATAATCTTGTCTCCTTACCATCTTTTCATTTTCTGTTCATGTAACATGTTCAAAAACATCTGTAATAATAAAACTGGTGATAAAATCAATGACCAGAAAGAGTTATCAGTTAGTGTTTGTTTTAATAAATGTGTTCAAATAACAAACAGCTAAGTAACATTAGCATGATGACAGTAGAAGGCTTCTCTCCCAGGAGGACCAACAGGTAAAGCCTCTCCTGACCCTGGACACCTGCAGTCCTAAACAGAGAAAATTAGATCACAGGTGACAAACAGGCAATAAACACATTTTTACATTTATCCACATGAGAAGATAAAAATTGTATTCTTCACACAAACAATTTTTACTTCATTAAAACGTGTCAGCTGTGTAAATCCCTGAATGTAAAACTACTTTTCACAGCAGAACACAGAAGAACTTCTGTGGTTGTGTGTGTAAACAGCTTCACTCTTCACCTCTAAGCTTAATAAAAACACTGTTGTCGTTAAAACAAATGACAAGTTTAATTCGCTACACACACACACACACACACACACACACACACACACACACACACACACACACACACACACACACACACACACACACACACACACACACACACACACACACACACACACACACACACACACACACACACACACCCGGAAATAATTACGGGACACACGATACAAACTCGTTCTGGCTGATTTCTGCCTAAAATGTAATTTAAAAAACAAACATACAAACGAAAAATGTCTATAAACTGAACCGCTTTAAGCTTTTTAGGTTTCTACGGCTAGTTTTTAACAAAATTACGTTTAAAACTTCGTAGCTCTCCCCATTTTGTCTTCCTGTTGAAAATCCACAGCCGGCACGCAAAGCATGCTGGGATAGCCTTCTTCTGTGAGGATACAACAGACCCGTCCTTGAAATGTGGGCGGAGCGAGGACGCATTTGAGGACACGAGAATGAGCATTCTTGGAATTCGGACCGTACTCGTCGCTGCGCTGTGACGTCATCGACCTCAAAATGCACTCTTACAAGAATCCTTCCTGTGGATTCGGACACACCCTATTTCACTGTGGTTTACCTCATAGGTGTACAAATGAAGAACAATTAGAGTTGTCATTAAAGTCAGCAGCAGTAATCCACTCAACCCACTTAACACCTTTGTATCCTAAATGAAAATGTGACAAGTTTGGAGAATAATTATGAATCACTGTGTTAACAGTCTTGGTCCCTTGGCTCCCTACAGACACTGCTGTGCAAATTGCACAAACAGATCCATAATGCAGGGTACAGTTCTGAGCCTTAGAGCAATTACAGATCAGAATAGGTGTTATCAAATTGGAATGGGCTGCAAGAAGCATATTTGTGTCTTTCCCAAGTTGGTTCAAATCAGATGGAAATGCAGAGTCGGTGGCTTTGTTATTCAACAGAAAGCAAAAGAAAAAATATCTGCATCTGTACGTGTTTTCCATTTACAAACAAATCCTTGCTACAGCAGATTATTGAGATGATGATGAATTAAAAGTATTCAAATCCAAATGGATTCCCTTAAATGAAATACAAATAAATGATAAGATGTTACACACTTACTACAGGGTATCCGCGGGTCCTTAAAAAGTCTTAAAAAGCCTTAAATTTACTTTTCCAAATTTAAGGCCTTGAAAATCCTTAAAAATGACAAATAATCCTTAAATACAGTTTCCAAAGGTCTTAAATTACCAAAGACCCAATAAAGTAGATTATTTTATTTCTATGACATTTTTGTGAATTTCTAGTTAGTCTTCAGCATTTTTGTGTACAATGTTGGTGTAAGCGGAACCGTACACATTCAGTTGGTTGTGAAAGGGGACTATTTTTAGATTAGCACATTAGCTGGTTAAGCTAGTGGGAGCTTGCGCCATGGAGAAGTGCAAGTTTAATGGTAAATGGATGGTTAATCCCACGTTCGCGACGTTGTTAGCACCGGTTCCAGGCAATAACTGGAAATTATAGCTTAAATTTAATTGAAAAAATAGTTTAAATTTGGATCTGGATCGAAAGGAGTCAGTTGAGGTGGTATGGGCATCTGGTCAGGATGCCTCCTGGACGCCTACCTGGGGAGGTGTTTCGGGCACGTCCTGCCGGCAGGAGGCCCCCGGGTCGACCCAGGACACGTTGGAGAGGTTACATCTCCAATCTGGTCCGGGAACACCTTGGGGTCCTGCCGGAGGAGCTGGTGGAGGTGGCCGGTGAGAGGACGGTCTGGAGCTCCCTAGTTGGTATGCTGCCCCCGTGACCCGGACCCGGATAAGCGGAGGAAGACGACAACAAGCTTAAATTTGGTCAAAGTGGCCTTAAAAAAGGTCTTAAAAAGTCTTAAATTTGGCTCCCTTAAACCTGCAGATACCCTGTTACTAGAATAAACAGGTCACCTAAATCTGTTTGTCTTTTCCTGTGGTCTTTTTGTTTATTGACGTCCTTTTAATCATCAGCTAACTCACTAAGACACAAGAGCTCAAATGCACTCTACCAAGTGGTTGACCCACCAGTTAAAGGGTTATTTAAAAAAACTGAACAATTTACACAATGTAAAGAAATTAATTAAAGATATTTCCCCGCAGGGTGGCTGCATTTTAATTTTTCTTTTTTTATGTATTTACTTTAAGCAATGATCGAGTAGATCCTGTTGGTGATCCTGAATCCAGATTCATGTGAGAAGATCTCCTGTCCTCCATGAGGGAACACCGAAATGGTAAGGTTTTGTTTTTATTTACTCTGGTAGCAGTTACAGCACACACAACTCAGAAGAAGCTCAGGAAGCCTTAAATCCACCTTCAACTGAAAAGAAAAACTGAAAAAAATTAGAAAAAGTCTTTCATTTTTATTTTAAATAGTTTAAAATTTAAATGTAAACAAAATTATTATTCATTTGTTGAGAAACAATTGAATGACAGATTTGAAGTTGATTTAAAATGACCAGAGTTAACTCGTACCATGAGTGGATAGTCTGTCTGGATCAAATCGGACAGTCCCGCCTGGAACATCACTACCAACCAGGAATAACAGAGCGGATCCTTGGTAACTTGATGCGAGCCCATCAGCTTCTACATGCGGCTCTAATTAGTGAGCATAATTACATAATCTACTGTATCAAAGGCTTTGTAAAGATCAATGAAGGAAGCTGGAAGGCTTTCAGGTACCCTGGAAACATTTTGCTTCCTCGCTGAGTTTTTAATTTTCCGTTGAGGAATTTTCTAGTAGGAGGGATCTGAACTTGTTGGCTTGCTCTCAGTTGCTTCTGTTTTGGAATAAAAAAAGAAATTCTGTGAAACACAAACGACCAGCAAGAGAAAGCAGCATGAGACTGGTGCTTACACCACGCACCAGCATCCTGCAGATCGCTGGCAGCTTCGCGAATCCACTGCTGTCCAACGCTCTGCTTCTGAACCACAATAAAACCCAGACAGACACTCACTTATCAACCCTCCACAGAAGATCTGCAGCCGCCGGCTTTGATTTTCAACAGAAAACCTCTTTAGAATGATGTTTAAAATGAAAGAAACATACAACGGTAGTGGCCGAGGATGTGAGTAAAAATGGGAGAAAAGAGCAAATTGTCAAGAAAGAACTCGAAATGCTGCAGATTTATCTGGGCTCTGAAAACGGCATCATCACATTACCACCAAATTTAATCTAATCTCCTCAGAGCTGCGACAGATCCATTTGGATACGGCGCCAGAGACGAGCCGAGGGGCACGATGGGTGTTTTTATCGCTGCGAAGGAGGATGTTGTTCCATTAATCTTTTCCTCTGGCAGCCCTCGACGTCAGATTGGAGCCGGTGATCAGATGGCATGACGGGTGCCTTCTTCACGGCAGGAAGAGGAGAGGAAAACTCAGACAGCCTGATGTAACTGAGACGCACCACTAACTCAGTCAGGATAAACCCCAGAAATAAAACGCCAAAGTTCTGAGAAATTCTCTAAACTATCAGGAACTTGAACGCATCACTCCTAAACAGAAAATGTGCTAATTTTATTCCCAGAGATTGTTTAGCTCTCATCCTAAATCATATTTATATTTGGGAAATGAGTTACCTTTTAAAAGAAAGCAGGGTGCATTTTTGGACATCTGGAAGATTTGAGGTCAGATGTGCCTAAACTGCTTCTAGCTCGAAAAACTTATACCCAAACTGACTCGAGAACAGATGGGAAAGAACGTAAAAGACATTCCTGTAAAATTGAAGGTGATCAAAAGAACTTGTTACATTTACAACTTTTTACTGTCGAACATGCCGCAGCCGGAAAATCCATATACCGTATTTTCTGGACTATAAGTCACACTTTTTTTTCATAGTCTAGCTGGTCCTGCGACTTATATACCAAATTATGTAGGCTATACCGTGCTGCTGCCGGCCAGCTCCGACCCAGGAATGAGCTCCCCTGCCCCCTGGGAGGGTTTGAAACACTGCCATCACTGCCATCACCTGCTGCAGCCTGTGGCGGGGTGCTGGTGGCCGGCTCCGGCCCAGGAATGAGCTCCCCTGCCCCCTGGGAGGGTTTGAAACAGTGCCATCACCTGCTGCAGCCTGTGGCGGGGTGCTGGCGGCCGGCTCCGGCCCAGGAATGAGCTCTCCCCGCCCGCTGGGAAACACTGCTATCCTCTGCTGGAGACCATGGTGTGCTGCTGCGCATACCGCTGAATAAACAATAATGAACAAGAGTCTGCTTCCAGACCTGCAGAAAGAGTGAAGAAAAAAACAAACAAACACAAAAATGGGACACAACAACAATACAACAAGATCAAGGTATCACTGCTTCAACTTGATGAAGAAATATATAATCAACATTATTTAACTGAACAATCACACGATAATAAATCAAATCAAATCAAATCAACTTTATTTATATAGCACTTTTCATACAAAAAATGCAACTCAAAGTGCTTTACAGATTAAAATGGCCCCATAGATCCCACATTCCCATCCCAGCCCCCCTCCCCAAGTATAAAACAATTAAAAATTACAGTTCCCCTCCCGCACCCAACTTCCAAAGTGGACATACAATCACCCGCACACACACACACACACACACACGCACACACACACACACACACTCGTGAACACCAGAGGAAACAATAGGCTGAGTTCAGATGGGTCAGGTAATGAACGACACATCATCAGCGGAGCCATCTGCCTTGGCAGCAACAGATCCACGGCAGCAGCCAAGACACCGGCCCATGACGCCCAGAGGCGTAGGGCAGAAACCCCCACCAGTGCCCGGGCACTACCTGGGGAGCGCCCCGGCCGCCGCCGCCCCTGACCACCGGCCCCAAGGCAGAGGGCTCCGCAGAGGAAACACTGGAGGATTTAAGATATATAACATATAAAATAATAAAAGCTAATAATGATAAAAAGTAACTGATAAAAAGTGATTATAAAGATAGTAAAAGAAAACATAATCATATAAAAACACTAAGATGTATATAAAATGATAAAAATAATAAGAGAGATAAATATGTATTTATAGATAAATAGTAATCAGTTAAAAGCTAAGCTAAAAAGGTGGGTCTTGAGCCTATTCTTAAAAGCCTGGATGTTCCCTTCGGACCTGAGGTCCTCCGGCAGCCCGTTCCAAAGGCGAGGGCCGTAGTACTTGAAGGACGCCTCGCCGTGGGTGTGAGTCTTAACTTTAGGGATAACTAGGAGACGGCTGCCAGAGGAGCGCAGAGACCGCGAGGGTTTATACAGTAAAAGCAGTTCTGAAAGATAAGAAGGCCCAAGACCATTAAGACACTTAAAAACCATTAAAAGAACCTTAAAATCAATCCTGAAACATACGGGGAGCCAGTGCAGTGATTTTAAAACCGGAGTGATGTGCTCCCGCTTCCTGGTCTTCATCAGGACACGTGCTGCTGAGTTTTGTAAGAGTTGTAAACCTGAGATGCTCTTTTTGGGAAGACCAGAAAGCAGGGCATTGCAGTAATCAATTCTACTGGTTACAAAAGCATGCACTAGCGTCTCCGTATTGGCCCGAGAGAGAATGGGGCGGACTCTGGCGATATTCTTAAGATGGTAAAAACCTATTTTTGTGATGTTTTTAATATGGGGGATAAAAGTCAGCTCAGAGTCGAAAATAACACCCAGATTCTTCACTTGTAGTGATGGATAAAAAGACATTGATTGTAGTTTAGGTAAAAGTTTCTCTCTCTGGGCCTCAGGACCGATGACTAAAACTTCAGTTTTGCCTTGGTTGAGCTGGAGAAAGTTTTCAGTCATCCATGATTTAATATCTAAAATGCAATTAAAAAGTGTTTCCATTGGCTGAGAGTCATCAGGAGACACGGAGATGTACAACTGTGTATCATCAGCGTAACTGTGGAAATTCACCCCATGTCTCCTGATGACGCTGCCCAGAGGGAGCATATAGAGGTTAAAAAGTACTGGGCCTAGAATTGATCCCTGAGGCACCCCGCATGTGATGCTGTGGACCCCAGAGGAACAGGTATCCAGACTCACCATAAAAGTCCTGTCTGTGAGGTAGGAAGTAAACCAACTGTGAACAGCACCAGAGAGGCCGATCTGTTTTAAACGGGTTAAAAGAATAGTGTGGTCTACTGTATCAAAGGCAGCACTTAGATCCAGCAGAACCAACACTGTTGCCCTCCGAGCATCATAATTTGTTCTAAAATCATTTAAAATCTTCAGAAGGGCTGTCTCAGTGCTGTGGTTCACCCTAAAACCAGACTGAAATTTCTCTAGGACATGTTGGTGGTTGATAAAATCATTAAGTTGTATTAAAACAAGCTTCTCTAAAATTTTGCTTAAAAATGGTAAGTTGGATACCGGTCGGAAATTGTTAAAGTCATTAAAATCTAAATTGCTCTTCTTCAACAGGGGTCTGACCACCGCCCGTTTAAAAGCAGCAGGAAAGACCCCCGTCTGAAGGGAACAGTTCATCAAAGTTAAAATCTCATCTCTAAATGAGTCATAAAATTGTTTAAAAAACCTTGTGGGGATAGGGTCCAGAACACATGTGGTAGGCCTCACTGAGGAGAAAACTTTATCAATAGTCTCAACTTCAACCAAGACAAAACTGTCCAGTGTTTCCTCAGGTAGACACACACTCTCAGATTGATCGGGAGCAGCATGACATTGGGTGGAAAAAATGTTACGTCTGATGGTGTCTACCTTCCCTCTGAAGTGGGCTGCAAACTCCTCACAGAGAGAGTCCGAGGGGGTTTTCTGGAGAGAACTAAATTCACGACCCAAAATATTTGTGACTGTAGAAAACAGAATTTTGGGATTATTTTTGTGTTCCGAGATGATTTTAGAAAAGTAATTATTTCTGGAATTTCTAACAGCTTTGTTGTATGATTTTAATAATTCCTTGTATATTTGTTTATTAATTGTGTTCTCATATTTCCTCCATTTTCTCTCCGCCGCCCTGCAAGATCTTTTCAACATTTTCAAGTTTTCATTGCTCCAAGGGGAAGCCGGTTTTGGCTGTAGCTTTTTAATTTTAGGTGGAGCGAGCAGATCCAGAGTAGATTTAAGTCTGCTGTTAAAATCATTGAAGATAAAATCACAGGGGGCATTTAAATTAATAGGAGGGATCTTTTTAAAAGTTTCCAGAAAACCAGCAGCCACTTCAGGGGTTAGATGGCGTTTCATTACAGTTCTCACAGAGGTCTCCTGCTGAATTATGCTGGTAATGCTAAAAAACACACAGAAATGATCTGAGATCGCTAAATCCACGACAGAGGACACACCGGTGGACAGACCATATGTGATGACCAAGTCCAGGGTGTGTCCTCTGTCGTGGGTTGGTTGTGCAACATGTTGTGTAAAATCCATATAACTCAAAATGTTTAAAAATTCAGTGGTAAAAGGGTCTGCAGGGTCATCTATGTGTAAATTAAAATCACCAGCTAAAATAATACTATCAAAAGAGTTGTGCAGAATTGATAAAAACTCGGAAAATTCCTGTATAAAAAGTGCACTGTGCCTCGGAGGCCTATAAAGAGTAACACACAAAATCTGAAGATCGCTGAAAATGGCTGCACAATATTCGAATGTGGTGTAGTTATCAAATAAAACATGTTTTGCGGAAAGTGTAGATGAGCTTATAAAAGCAGTTCCGCCTCCCTTTTTTCCGTTTCTTATTGAATAAGTAAAATTAAAGTTTGGTGGGGAGGCCTCTGTGAGAACAGCAGGAGCATCTGAACTCAGCCATGTTTCTGTCAAAAATACACATTTAAGATGATTATCTAAAATGAGGTCATTTATAATAAAAGTTTTGTTCAGCAGAGAGCGAACATTTAAAAGAGCCATATTGATAGTAACTAAAGGTGGAGTGACTGTGTGATTGACTGGGGGTGAGATTATTGACAACTGTTTAAGATTATTAAGATTAGCCCGGTTAGTTTTATGTTTATGTGATCGCTCTCTGCTGATTACAGGAATGTGAGAGGTGTGCAAGGGTCCAAGTCCGATATGTGGGTTACTGTTAAAATCATAACTGGGTTCATAGGATCCTGGACCAGTGGGACATCATGATGTGGGGGGAGGAGGTTGGGGCGTGGGGGCAGCTGGGGGTGGTGTGGTGGGTAAAGGTGGTCGTGGGCAGGCCAGGCTCATTTTAAGTGTGTGGGTACCCTGTCTATTTAGATGGAGTCCGTCAGGCCCAAACAGATGCTTCCTGCCCCAAAAAATGTTAAAATTGTCAATAAAAGCAATGTTGTGCTGCACAGTGACAGAAGAAAGCCAGGTGTTCAAAGATAAAATTCGGCTAAAGCGTCCAATTCCTCTGTCAACCGTGGGGATGGGGCCAGAGATAAAAACACACAGATGTGTGCTTTTTAACAAGTTAAAAAGATGAATAAAATCACGCTCACAGTGTATTAAGTGCCCACCATAGCCTTAAGACATGTGTTGAACGTGCCCAAGTCCATACTTATGAGAGCACCATGTGAGCACCTGTGTGTGTATATGCACGTGTTTATGTAAGGTTTCTCTATAGGAGAGTCCAATAGAAAGTGTGACGGGCCACAGATCTGTCCCCTAAAGATGTGTAGGAGACGGAGGGAGCTCCAAGTCCCAGAGATCCAGGAGCTGCCCCAGAGCACAGGAACCCCAGGGAGACTGCGACCAGAAAAGCCCCAGCCCCCCTCGAGAGGCGCAGAGGATGGCCCCGGGGGGCCACAACCAGCAGCCGGCAGAGTCCCGGGAGATATCGGCGGCAAGCCCACAGGCCCGCCTGCAGCCTCCCACCCCCTAGCGGGTCGAGCCCGGGACCCAGCGACCCGGGACCCAGGGGCGACCACCCCCGCCGGGGACCCAGCAGAGCCCAGGGACCCAGACCCCACCAGGCAGCCACCGGGATTGGTCATGCAGATGCCAAAAATCTTTAACCCCCTGACCCGGGAGCCACGACCCAGGCAGACCAAGGCACCGCTCTCCACACCAGGTGTGGCAGGGAGAGGGGAGACAAAGATCTATATCATCAAAAGAAGTCCCAGGAGAAGGGAGGAGTCAAAGGCCCCACCTGACATACACAGTCATACACAAACACAGTCACACACTCCCTCCCTCATGCTCACACATACAACCAAAGACTTACAAAAATGCACGCCGGACACCCACTCATGCTCCCCATACACACCCTATTCACTCTGGTCTCGGTACTGCTGCACATGGGATACAGCCATTACCGGTTCCCAGAGTTCGACCCTTTCTGCTGGGGTGCTGATGAGTAGGCTCCCCCGCCCAAAGCTGAGCACAGCAACCCATCACCCCAGACCCCAACCGGATGGCCGGATCTCCCTCCTAGCCTCCAACCCCAGGAAGCCAAGCGACAACAGAGGTGTGCTAAGACC